CTCACTGGAGTTTGAAACACTAGCAAATATTTTAACTTTCAGATTTATTTAAAAATGATAAAACATTAAACCTTTTATAAGACATAGTGAGAAGAATTCAAGTAACATGCACGATGACACAACAGGCTAGCAAGAGAATTATCTATCAATTCATTAGAGCTAATTCAAATTTTTATAGTGAGAACTCAAATATCTATTCATTTTTAAAACTATCTTTAAAAGATGTTATGCTTTGCATTTAACTTACTAATATGAAGGGAATTACAACAACAGAAATGAATATTTGAATATAAGGTGCATCTTGTCCTACCCAAAGTACATATACTGGGTTGAAAGCAAACTTGGATGAATCAATGGCAATTTTTAATTTATTCGTATTACCATTCACAGTAGCAGAAACCGCAGAACCGAATTTCTCAGTTCATCATCATTCGTTTATTCACTTAACGTGTATGAATGCCTACTTTGTACAAGGCACCATGCGTGATCCTGAAGCTTTGGAAACGAGTATTTCTCAAGGACTGTTTCAGGGAACTCACAGCGCTGTTCTCACTGCGTGGGGAACTCCTTCCACTAGTTAAGGAAAAATATACACCAATGGGAAATGCAAATTGCTTTTCGCATCAAGAGCAGAGCACTTGTATTTTATCATACGGACTCTGGAACTCATGGCACTAACATGGCAACTTAATGCTCTCCTCCTGTCCCCCAGGCCCTCCTGATGCCACCAAGTGCCTGCATTCTAATTCATTATCCACGTCAGCTAAAATCACTCCACTTAAACCCCGCTTCTATCTTCCTGTATCACTTGTGTTCTCAGTTCAGTTCAGGGCATTCCATTTTTCCAGACTCACCCCACCATGCTCTGTTCTCTCCCTGCAGAACCCCAATCCTACCCGTGCACATTCCCTCCATCCCCTTCCTTCAGCTGCATCCCAACCATCTGCTCAGCCTGCAGCCCAGGGGTCCCACTCGTCTTGAAATTCCTCAGACTGCACAGACTGCGGTGACACTTTACTAAGGATCCAGATGGCATCAGACAGAAGCTCTTCTCGAGTCTCGTCAGACTCCTTTGTATCCTTCCCAATTCTCTCCTTCCTTCTTCCCCCTAGAAAGTCACGGCTCCTGCCATCCCCTCCTTAACATACACAGGTGAGCACCCACCATGGGCCAAGTTTTCTAGACACTGGCAGTACAGAAATGAACGAGATAGACAAAGCCCTGCTAATGAGGTTATGGTCTAATGGGGGGTGGGCGTTGCAAATAAGTAAAAAAATGAAGACGTATTCAGAGAGTGAGACAAGCTGTGAAGACCTCGGGAGGTGCTGAGGAGGGAGGGGGACAGGACGTCAGCTAGAGGTGGGGCTGCAAGGAGAGCGGGGGACAAGCGGGAGGACGACTATAGGAGAACGTGCGCGAGAGCATCCCAGGCAGGGAGAGCGAGGCGGGTCCCAGGAGCAGAGCCCTGCCTGCCGCGCTCACGCCCTCGCCGCTCGAGTCACAAGCCGCAGTGGTGCGCGGGTCTCTCGTCTCTCTCTCCCTCTTCCAGGCATTTCCAGGTGTTTCCACCTAAGCGCCGTCCGTAACTCCCGCTGCTCTCCGGGTGACACCTCCCTGGAGCGTCAGGCTTCCCCTCATCTCCAGCCCCTCGCTCCCCCCTCCCTGACCCCTGCAGCCGTGCTCCGGCCACACCGCCACCTGCAGCGATCCGTCCAAGGTCATCAGCGATTCTCGGTTTCCAATCCTGGGGCCCTTCTCTCACCCTCATCCTTCCGGGTCTTCTGTCGCATTCCTGGCAAGCCTCCTTCCAAATACTCTCCTCCTTCCTTCCCATGAAAATGCCTTCTTCCTCGCGTCCCTCACCGTAAGGGCCCTTCTTGGACCATCTCTCCGACTTCACCGATGAAGCCCTCCCCAGCTGCTGGTTTTCCGTCTGTACTCTCCCTGCGCAGGCTCCATTCTGGGGCTACTCCTCCGGTCCTGCTCTTCCTGGGATTAGCTACAGACGTCCCTTCGACCGCAAGGGAACGTCACAGCTGGGTCCAAATGCAACTGACGTTCATAACCGACTTCATCCTCTTCCCCGGACCAGAGACTGTGACATTCCCCATTCATCCAGGGCGGGGTTTACACCTCACAAGTCTAATCGGCGCCCTGGCTGGGCTGACTCTCAAACACGCCTCCTCTGGCCCGTGCTCACCACGAGGCCCCCACCACATTCCCGTACCTCTGAGGTGCCCTCGGGGACCTGTCACCTGGATTAATCCAGTCCTGCCAGCTACCTCTACTCCATGGCACCTTGGAAAGATTCTCCTAATAACCGCTTGAACCTTGACACTTCATGGCTTAGAAACCCTCAGTACTTGGGCTTCCCTGGTGGCGCAGAGGTTGAGAGTCCGCCTACCGATGCAGCAGACGCGGGTTCGTGCCCCGGTCCGGGAAGATTCCACATGCCGCGGAGCGGCTGGGCCCGTGAGCCATGGCCGCTGAGCCTGCGCGTCCGGAGCCTGTGCTCCGCAACGGGAGAGGCCACAGCAGTGAGACGCCCGCGTACCGCAAAAAAAAAAAAAAAAAAAAACCTTCAGTACCTCCTCACTGTTACCCCATGAAGCCTAATCCCCACCACAGCTTCGGAGGCCTCCGGCGCCCCCGCCGTCTCCAGGCTCGGCGCTGGCCACTCTCCCTCGGTAGCCGCTATGCCACGCACATGGCTCTTGCCGTGGTCATTCCTGTGGCTTAGAACCTACTAGAAAATCCTACACATTACCCGTGTCCAGTTCAAGTGACATCCATCTCTTCCAGGTAATTTCCCCTGATTTTCTTAATAGAAAACCATTTCCCCCCAGTTCACACTCTACCTTGCATTACAGTTATCTGTGTACGTGTGTGTGTCCTACAGCCACTACTGTTTTATAATCTCCTTAAGGACAGTGCCTTTTCTTCCCTTTTTCTGTGTAGCCCCAAAGTGCCTGGGATAATGCCTTTGAGATATAGAAAATATTCAAGAAATACTTGCCAAAGAAATTACTGATGGCTTCTAATACTAATTTCTTTTATTATCTGTAACCTGTCAATTCGTTAGTAACACATATAAAGCTATCCTTGAAAAATTCATCTCCTATTAAAAAGAAACCTTTAAAATGTGAACACGTGATTCAAGAAAATGAAGGCCTAAACTGTATGTTTTATAAGTCTGGCTTTACTATGTCCAGTGTTTTAAAAACTCGAGGTGCACTGGTATCCGTGCCATTTAAGCACATTTACTTGGAGATACTTTGAACTTTTGGCGGCAGTGAGCAGAGCTGAGGTGCGGCGTGTGTCAGCTCCCAGCAGCTTCCCCATCGGTAAGCTTCCCCTTCTCCTGTGCGCTTGTCAGGGGGCGAAAACTACTCGGTATCAGGACATTCCCCAGTTCCTGACACCTTGTATATTTTGGCATCAAAGAGCACGATTCCGCGCTGCTCTGATGGAATGACTGCTAGCATCCTCACTGGGGTACGAAGGCCCCTCAGCCAGGTCGTGTCCCTGTGGCCTGCGCAGCTCTTGCCGTCTCTCACACACAGCAAAGGGCACGCAACTCCGCTCGCTTCGTGGCTCCAGCAAGTCGCCTTGGAATCACACTGGGCGACTCACTCACAGGTTCTCTCTCCCTCCGCCTCTCCCCTGACCCCCCACTCCCATGTCTGAACCCAAAGCAGATCCCGTCAGCTCTGTCTGCAGACCATCAGACCATAACCCAGCCGGACCCGTGTACCACCTTCAGTGCTACTGGCCGAGCCCAGCATCTCTCAACTCTGGTCTAAATCACTGCAATAGCTTTTGAACTAGTCTCCCCACTTCCACCTTCACCCTCGCAGGCGGGCGTGGCCCGAGAGCCCTCTGCTCCAAACACGCCAGGCTTCCTCTACTTATGGGGGGGTCAAAGCCAAGCCCTTGCAGTGGCCTCCACAGCCCTACGGGGCCCGGTCCGTCCCTAGAGGCCTCGTCCCTGACCTCAGCCCCTCGTCCTCCCCTCCTCCGTCTTTCCCAGCCACACTGGCCTCCTTGCAGTCCCTCCAGGAAGCCAGGTGCACTCCTGCCTCTTCACTCCTGCCTCTTCAGAGCCCTCTTCCAGTTTATCTCTGGGTTCAGAGCCAGGCTGCCACGGGCCCAGTCTGCTGAAATCTGACCCTCAGGTAAATGACGGTACTCATGCAAAGTGAGCACCTTAGGGCCACGATCCTGGTAAAATTAGTAGAGCAGCACCTGGAATGCCATGGTATGCTCTATGAAGTCTTCCCATTTAAAGATCAAGAAGAGGTGGGAAAAAAATAAAATCAGAGGATTCTTAAATTACCCTTTCCCAGGGTCTTGATCGCAGGATAGAGGTTGGTCTTAAAGAGCTCAAGGGGCAGCTGACAGTTGTGATGATTAATAGCAATTCGCTTTTACTACCTGATTAAAATATTTACACTTTTCCAGAAGAACAAATATCTGAGGCTGCCTCTGGAATATAAGTCAACTCAAAATGTGTAAACATTATATTGACATATATTTCAAAAATGTGTAATTCTAAAGAAAGTTCTTCATTTGAAATATCAATCTGGGAAAATATGTCATCATCTATGGGACACATAAAAAACTGTAAAATCTAGAAATGACCATTAGACAACATAAGAAAGATCTGAAACCTAGTCTTACCTTAGGAAAAACTCAAGGTTACAGCCCCAATACTCCTAATCAGTATAATATTTGATAATATTATAACACTTTTCTCACAGTGTATGTTTAATAACTATGGAAGGGATATTCCATACAATCCCTTCCACAAAAGCCAAGGGAAAAGTCAGAAAACTCCCTGAGACATACAGCAAGACACTTAGATTGCTCATTTGAATGGTTTATCAACTGGAGAGTAATTCTAAGTCCACCACCTCTTTGAGATTAAATATAACGGTGGCATCAGTGGATTTCAAACACGGATCTCGACTGTCTATAACACATCCAGGTGGGCATCTTACCTTTTCCAGCGTCATCTCTGTCTCAGCGGCATGAGTCTTTTTCAGCTCTATTTTCATCTTTTCTGACTCAGCCTTCAGTTTGTTGACGGCAGCCTCGTGGTCCCGAGCAGTCCTCTGCTTCTCCTCTTCACGAAGAAGACCGAGCTCCACCAGCTGCTGCTTCCGCTGGGAGTTCACGCTGATCAGCTCTTCTCTCAACTTGTGGACTTGTGCCTCCATGTCAGCAATAACCTTGTTTTTAAAAATGGGAAAATGGTCAGAGGATATGACTAGGAGAGCCGTAAAAGAAGAACTGCAAAAGGCTACCAAACAAAGGAAGTTCACTGCTTCCTTCCTCCTGCTTCCCTCCTTCTCCAATCCCATGCCACCCCTTCTAGCTCAGACAGAGATCCTACCTGAAATCGTTTACCACAGACATCACATTTAGTTTTCCTTGTTTCAAACACCTATGTAAATGGAATATTACATGTACTCTTCTGCAACTTGCTTCTTCAAATAGGCAACATTGTGTTTCTAAGATTCGTCTAGTACTTGCTACTGTATTTTTTGTTTTTATTTCATCGATTTCTGCTCTTATGTTTGTTATGTCCCTCATTCTACATTCTTGGGTTTTTTATTCTTCTAACTTCTTATCTGGATATTTAACTCATTTATTTTTATCCTTTCTTCTTTCCTGATTTATATAAACTTAAGACTATAAATACCGCTCTACCATTGCTTAAGTTTAATCTCTTAGGTTTAGATACACGACATTTTCATTACCATTTAATTCAAAACATTTTGAACTTCCATTTTTATTTTTTTCTTTGACTTATGGTCTACTTAGAAGTATGTTTCTTAATTCCCAAACCTATGGGGTATACTAGTTTCCTAGAGCCGTCCCAACAAAGTACGAAAAGCTGGGTGGCTTAAGACGACGTTTATTCTCTCAGAGTTCTAGAGGCTGCAAGTCTGAAAGCAAGGTGCTGGCAGGGCAGGCTCCTTCTGGAGGCTCTGAGGCAGAGTCTCCCCCAGCTTTCGGTGGCTGCGTGCCATCCTTGCCTTCTCGATGTGTCGCTCCAGCCTCTGCCCCCATCTCCTCGTGGCTGTGCTTGTGTGTCTGTATCTCTGTGTCCAAATTTCCCTCTTCTTATAAGGACAATGGTCACCTTGGACTTAGGGCTCCTCCTAATCGAGCATGACCTCATTTAACTTGATTACATCTGCAAAGACCCTATTTCCAAACAGGGTCACACTCCCAGCTTCTGGGTGGATATGAAATTTTAGGGGGACAACAACCAATTTAGGATGTGAAGTTTAATGACTGTCTTTTTGTTATTCACTTCTAAGTGCATTGTGGCCAGAGAATGTACTCTATACTACGTTACTTCTTTGAAAATTTTTGAGATTGCCTGATGGCCAGAAAATTTTTGAGATTGCTTGATGGCCAGTTGTACAATTTTTTTTTTGCAGTACGCGGGCCTCTCACTGTTGTGGCCTATCCCGTTGCGGAGCACAGGCTCCGGACGCGCAGGCTCAGCGGCCATGGCTCACGGGCCCAGCCGCTCCGCGGCATGTGGGATCTTCCTGGACCGGGGCACGAACCCGTGTCCCCTGCATCGGCAGGTGGACTCTCAACCACTGCACCACCAGGGAAGCCCGTGTGGTATATTTTTATCCACGCTTTTAAACCTTTTTGTACCCTCAAGTTTTAGCTATATATCTTATAAATAGCATATATTTTGGAAACTTCTTTTAAAAATCTCATCAAAGTTTGTCTTTTAAAGGGGGCATTTACACAGAAATCTCTTGCATTACTATACACTAATGATGAAAAATCTGAAAGAGAAATTAAGGAAACACTCTCATTTACCATTGCAACAAAAAGAATAAAATACCTAGGAATAAACCTATGTAAGGAGACAAAAGACCTGTATGCAGAAAACTATAAGACACTGATGAAAGAAATTAAAGATGATACAAATAGATGGAGAGATATATCATGTTCTTGGATTGGAAGAATCAACATTGTGAAAATGACTATACTGTCCAAAGCAATCTACAGATTCAGTGCAACCCCTATCAAACTACCAATGGCATTTTTCACAGAATTAGAACAAAAAATTTCACAATTCCTATGGAAACACAAAAGATTCCAAATAGCCAAAGCAATCTTGAGAAAGAAAAATGGAGCTGGAGGATCAGACTCCCTGACTTCAGACTATACTACAAAGCTACAGTAATCAAGACAGTATGGTACTGGCACAAAAACAGAAATACAGATCAATGGAACAGGATAGAAAGCCCAGAGATAAACCCACGCACATATGGTCACTTTATCTTTGATAAAGGAGGCAAGAATATACAATGGAGAAAAGACTTCAATAAGTGGTGCTGAGAGAACTGGACAGCTACATGTAAAAGAATGAAATTAGAACACTCCTTAACACCATACACAAAAATAAACTCCAAATGGATTAAAGACCTAAATGTAAGGCCAGACACTATAAAACTCTTAGAGGCAGAACACTCTATGACATAAATCACAGCAAGATCCTTTTTGACTCACCTCCTGGAGAAACGGAAATAAAAACAAAAATAAACAAGTGGGACTTAATGCAACGTAAAAGGTTTTGCACAGCAGAGGAAACCATAAACAAGACGAAAAGACAACCCTCAAAATGGGAGAAAATATTTGTAAACGAAGCAACTGACAAAGGATTAATCTCCAAAATTTACAAGCAGCTCATGCAGCTCAATATCAAAAAAACAAACAACCCAATCCCCAAATGGGCAGAAGACCTAAATAGACGTTTCTCCAAAGAAGATACACAGACTGCCAACAAACACATAAAAGGACGCTCAACATCACTAATCATTAGAGAAATGCAAATCAAAACTACAATGAGGTATCACCTCACACCAGTCAGAATGGCCATCATGAAAAAAATCTGCAGAGAATAAATGCTGGAGAGGGTGTGGAGTAAAGGGAACCCTCCTGCACTGTGATACAGCCACTATGGAGAACAGTATAGAGGCTCCTTAAAAACTAAAAGTAGAGCTACCATCCGACCTAGCAATCCCACTACTGGGCATATACCCTGAGAAAACCATAATTCAAAAAGAGTCATGTACCACAATGTTCATTGCAGCTCTATTTACAATAGCCAGGACATGGAAGCAACCTAGGTGTCCAGCAACAGATGAATGGATAAAGATGTGGCACATATATACAATGGAATATTACCCAGCCATAAAAAGAAACGAAATTGAGTTATCTGTAGTGAGGCGGATGGACCTAGGGTCTGTCATAGAGAGTGAAGTAAGTCAGAAAGAGAAAAAAAAATACCACATGCTAACACATATATATGGAAGCTAAAAAAAAAAAGGTTCTGAAGAACCTAGGGGAAGGACAGGAATAAAGACGCAGACGTAGAGAATGGATGTGAGGACACAGCGAGGGAAAGGTAAGCTGGGACAAAGTGAGAGAGCAGCATTGACATATATACACTACCAAGTGTAAAATAGTTAGCTAGTGGGAAGCAGCCGCATAGCACAGGGAGATCAGCTCGGTGCTTTGTGTCCACCTAGAGGGGTGGGATAGGGAGGGTGGGAGGGAGATGCAAGAGGGAGGAGATATGGGGATATATGTATACACATAGCTGATTCACTTTGTGATACAGCAGAAACTAACACACCATTGTAAAGCAATTATACTCCAATTAAGATGTTAAAAAAATAAATAAATGGGGCATTTATTCCAATGTAGTCCATTAGTTTGTACATGCTAACATATTTGCCTTTATTTTGTCTCTTATTTTGTGCTGCTTGCCCTATGCTCTGTATGTTTGGCTTTTCTCCCCCCTTTTCCTTCTTTTATTCTGAATGAATAAATGGTTTCCTCCTTCAGCTCTCTTCTCCTCTCTGGTCTGGAAGCGACACACTAGATTTTCTTTCGTGCTCACAGTAAGAGGCCTCAACACCCATGTTTCACTTATCAAATTTTAAAGTTAATTATTTTTTATATGCTCTTAAACAACGAAAGAAACTTAGGACATTTTAAGTCCTGTAGCAGTCTCCCATATTTATATGCTAGAGTTGTTATTTTCAGTTTATTTCGTTTTCATCAACTCAAAATTGCTAATTATTCAGTAGCTGCTTAGATATATCCATATATGTCCCCCTGTCTTGTCTCCTCATTCCTTCTTGCAACTCTGACCTTCCATACAAGCATTTTCCTGTAGCCCCAAGCGCATCCTTTAAGTTCTTTAAAGAAGTTTAGTGGCAAGCACTCTCAGTTTTCACTAATCTGAAAATATTTTTAGGGGTGTTGTTGAAAAGTCAGCTGCTATTCATTGGAAGGTAATTTTTTTTTTGTCTCTCTGGCTGCTTTTAAGATCTTCTCTTTGTGTTTTGTATTCTTCAATTTTTTAATTTCTCTAAGCGTAGATATGTTTTTATTTATTCTGATTGGGACATGCTCCTCCTCTGGATCTGTTTTTTATAACGACTGCAAGACTCTCAGGCGTAACCTATTAATTTAATGTCTCTGTTCCATTCTATCTCCACTCTTTATGAACTCACATGATGTACATGGATCTTCCCATTCTTTCATTTCATCTAAGCTCTCTTTCATATTTTTCATCTTGTCCTCTCGCCTACGTTCTAGACATTTTCTGTGTGTAATCTGCTCTCAAATCCATTCAGATTCTGAATTTCAGTTGTTTTATTTTTAGGAGTTTATTCTTTTACAAATATGCATGGTAATTTTTAAACGCCCTTGCCATTTTAGTGTTTTCAATTCCTTTAAAATCTGTAAGTTTACACCATATACTAACTATGACTATTTTCTATTCTGTGGCTGATAATTCCAGCATCTCAAGCCTTTGCAGGTCTCATTCTGCTGTTCAAAAACTTTGAAGACCCTGGTTCATGGTACTTTGTTTTTTCTCCTACCGTTTTGCATTGTTGTTCTTTTTAAGTGCAAGTTCGTATCTGTTGGAATTGAAAGAGGTTCTCTGGCAATCATGTGACTCTGACAGGGCCCTGGAGATGTCAGCATGTCTGGACGACTTTAGAGTGAGTTCTCAGACTCGTTTTCCAGGACACGGTGACAGTGCGCATTCAGGCGTCACACGTCCACGAGCGCTGGCTTACGGTTATGAATGCTCAGGGGCGCCCCGCTCACCGTCAAGGTTGTCTCTAGTTCACTTGCACGTGGTGGGTGTGGCCCTTGGTGTCCCGGCTGTATG